ATTAGTGTAAGAAGTTGAGTTAATAAAAAGTTAAGCCGGCTTTGAGTTTTGCTGTTGCTGCAGTTAACTTTGGTGTACCACCAAAGGAAATCCTCTAGTATTCCTTCATGCTGGAGGGTTTTCCTCAATGTTCCTGTTCCACCTTCAGCATTTGGCCTTCACCTATGTACCTACCTACACAATAGAGGGAGTTTCATGAGACTTCCACTGCTTATTACTCAGTTGTTCTCATGGTGGGGGATGAGGAAGGGGTGATTCTCTATTGTCCTGGTCCAGCATCAGTCCCAGGCAGATCCTGTATGCCTAGGTCTCATAGTGGGTCCTTCTTGGTGATTCTGCTCTCCCTGTCCCTGGAAGCCAAATTCTGCTCTGTCCCTTTGGCAAGCTGTGTGCAGGAGAGTTTCCTACCCTACCCCCGACAGTAAGAAACTTCTAATGGTGTTGCTATAAGGTTGCAGGTCCAAGATTATTTCCTTCCTCTCCCCTTGAAATGGATAGTTTTTTTCTTTATTCATCCCCTGCCACGATGGATTTTCACCTATACACTGGAGGTACAGATGTACTGCCCTTACCTCAGTGGTTTACAGGTTTGGTCAAAATGAGACATCTTATCTTTCTGGTAGTGATAGCCACTCCTCCCTTCCAGGCCTGTACCAATGAAGGAGACCCTCTTCAATCTCCTCCCTGCCCCCAACCCCAGGCTTTCTCTAGAGGTCTGTGCAGAAGCATACAAGTGGGAGTGAACTCCCCTTGTTATCTGTGACTACCCATGTTTCTATCCTTGGCTTTTAGCAACTCATCAAAAAAGTTTAGCCAAATACTTCTTATCTGCTTAATTGATGTCTGGTGTCTCTTTCTGTAACTGTTCTCTGGCACAAGTAAGACAATGCTTGTGTCCCATCTCTTTTTTGGAGGAATGTGCCTTTCCTTGGACTTTAGGCTACTTAGTGGCTCTGCATCGTAATCTCTCTGATGGGTTCAAGAAATGTTATGATTTTGTAGTTTATCTGACATTTTATTATAGTTAGGGTAGAAGTGACACTCTTTCCACTTTCCCCATCCTTAGGTGAAAACAAAACTCCCAAATTCAGCAACATTTCAAAGTAAATTTCTTTTTCATTAATCAATAATAGCATGGATTTGGGGAAGACACATTTATTTAGACGGTGCTTGCTTGTTATACCTTTGGACTCATAAATTTTTGACAGACTTATTAGTCTGTGTCCCATCCCCTCTGTATCAGAGATCCACACACATGGTTTTGAAATCACTATCATACCCTAAGATTAGAAAAATCAACTTCAAAAACTTTTAACTATGGTTTTGAAATTTCTAAGATCAATTATAAGTCTGAAAGCTATTGTAATTTAGCTATCTTTCAAGTACAAAGGCAAAAAATTTTTTATCTTTTTCCGTGTCCGGCAACGGATCGCAACCCTCAGTGTTGCCCCCGTACCGGACCGGGGACCAGCAACGGGACTGCAACCCTCGGTGTTGCCCCCGTGCCTCGCTCAGCCAGTGAGCGGGAACCGGTCTGTATGTGGGATCCGAACCCTCGGGCGGGAGCACCACCGCGCTTCCCAAGCGGCGCACTTATCCAGTGCGCCACCAGGCCGGCCCCACACACATGGTTTTGAAATCACTATCATACCCTAAGATTAGAAAAATCAACTTCAAAAACTTTTAACTATGGTTTTGAAATTTCTAAGATCAATTATAAGTCTGAAAGCTATTGTAATTTAGCTATCTTTCAAGTACAAAGGCAAAAAATTTACCACTTTATTAAGGAACAAAAATGATTTCATTGTGCACATGTGGTCAGAAATAGCTTCTCAATATACATAAGCTTTAACTTTCCTAATTCCCACATATTTGATATTATAATTACAGTATGTGAGGTACAAAAGATTCTAAAGTGGCTAGAAATTAAACTCAGGACATAATGCCAAAAAGAAACATTTGTGATTCTGTAAGTATATTTCCCATGAAAATGTAAACTGATTTTGACAAATTACTGCAATTACATCTATTACTTTTAGCACTTTGATACATATTTTTCTGAGCAACATATGTAATCTATAAACAAGAAAACTGAAGAATGCTGTGATTTTCAAGCAACTTTGACAACCCAATCTGTCCTAGCACTTAACTGTAAAACATATGACCTAATTTTTCTCCATTGATTATAGTATAGCATGTTTGACTTTCTCATTATTATTTATTATGATGTTCTTAAAATTTTAAGAGAAAAACTAAAGAACGAAAACATTTTTAGAAAGGGAACAACTTTAATAAATCACTTTATAGAATTTAATTGTTCCTGGGTTCATCACAAATAAATGGATTTAAAACTAGTCACTCATTTGTATTGAAGAAAGTTAACTTGCATAGCAAAAGGGGAAAAAAATAAAAAGGACTCATTAAAGTTACTTTATTAAACAAGTTCTTTCACTATAAAACTGTTAGTCATATTAATCAGCACATAGAATCAGATAAGTGATATCACGTTGACAAAAATATACCCAACAAATTCAATACCAAATGAAAATGGTCTTACTGAAACTCCAGAGATATCATTTCAGAACAACATATTCAATTTCTCTCTTTTATATTAAAATCTAAAAGTAATAATCAAGGGAAGGAAAAAAACAAGGATTTTACTGATTTCCCAACAGCATAGTGCTAGAATCTATGTCCCAGCATATCATCAGCCAATTTTTAATGGATGACCATTGAAAAAGTTACTACTGCTAGTAAACTTCGTGATTTCTTTATATAAACATATTAAACTACTATGCATTTCAAGGTGAAATACATAATACTTCCCCATGAAATGACCATAATTTGGGGTTCGACTATACTTAGAAGCACTTATCTGCCAGAAAAGATGTGGTTTTGCTTCCCTTATGATAAGGTGAATTTCCTACATTACCTTCAAGGCCTCTGTGCATGAGAGGACTGAATTCCTTCAAGGTTACCCGAAGTCCTGAGAGGCCTAGAGGATTATTTTGGCATTCTGACTCCCATTCTCTGAGACATTTCTCAGAATTTCATCAGAGAAAAAATAAGAGCCACAACATTTATGGGAAAAAAGTCATAACTGACTGTATTTGCCAAGGCAATCATATTCATTCAAGAAATATTCAATATGGAGATATGTATATAGAGTGAAAGACTTGGCTTCTACTTAAAATGCTCTATTTATAGTTCACTAAGTATTTGTCTTAGACAAAGCTGACATAGGTCTGCTCTCCCAACTTTTGTATTAGATGGAAAATTAAATGCAAAACATTTTAAATGTATTAAGCCCAAATGCTGTAAACCCTTTCAAAATAAAACTTCCTCCTACTAGCTAAAACCTTGGTTTCTTTTATTCTTATGATTTTTATTGATTTATTAATATAAGTCAATAAAATTAATCAATAATTATCAATTGGACATTATTTAGTAACATTATTGTAAGTCAATAAAAACATAACTATTGTCATCCTATTGTCAGACATTCATATAGGTGAAACTGTAAACAATGTCACTTTCTTAAAGAGAGATACTTAGTCTTAAAATCTTACCAAATGAAGATATTTTCCTATCAGCTGAGAAAAAGGATTGTTTTATTAGATACAACATCCCTAAGAAAACAAAATACTTTTTGTTTTTATACTTTTAAGAAATGTTATTTTTTTAAAACTAAATTAAATTAAACAATGGGCAAAGGAGTTGAATAAACAGTTCTCAAAGAAAGACGTACAAATAGCCAACAAGTACAAGAAAAAATGCTCAATATCACTAAGCATAAGAGAAATGCAAATCAAAACCACATTGAGATAAATGTACTGCTATTGACTATGAATGGTAACAGTATTCAGGAAGACATCAAGCCAGTGCTAACATTATCTTAGGAACATTTATTTGCTCATATTTATATACCGCTATGATTAATTTTTAAATCACCATGAGAAGAGTTTCACAGGCAATTTTCCATAAGATTCTAAATAATATTAACACTACTATACTATAGGTAGGTTAAAAAAAATGGTTCAGGAGAGCAAAGTTCTGAGAAGTTGAGGCAAGAGAGGAACAGAAAACAAATGGAAGCGTTAAAATCTAAACCTTACATGGCATAATCTTAATAACTATCTTGAGCACTCGTCATTTAGGTCCTTCCCAGAACACCGAGTGCATGGTTACATTTGCAATTATACTGGCATTAGAAAACATGCATTCACTCAATTAAATATTATTTGAAAATTAAATACAAATCAGTTATAAAAGCAAAGGAAAACATTCCACTGCTCAAAATATTCCTAATTCTTTTTCCTGGATTATGGACAGAAAATTTTTAAACAGAAGAGATCTTAATTTCTACTGCCAAATTTCAGAAGTTAGGTTATATAAAATTGTAAATGACTAAGAAGTAAGAAGGTAAACAAAGCACAAGCCAAAGCCTTATAGAAGCATAAAGACAACATCAAAATACTGATTATGGAATTAAAATTCAACTACACAATTCTGATAAACAACAGTACAGAAAGGTTCATTCATATAATAGCATATAAGATGAGAATTACTTGTTTTTTAAGTTATACTTGTTGGTCAGCACCAACACACAACATTAAATAGCCTTTACAAAGAACATTAACAGCCATAATTCCTAATTCCTACCTTTAGCATATTACAATTTAAAACAGACAACTATGATAAAGATATAGACATATATATAAAGATCCTGACATTCAATTGTACAAAAACCAAAAGGTAAAAGAAAAACACTAGCTAGGAGCTTTAAAAATCCTTTAGATACAGCGTTTATTGGTAAAAAGAGCTAACATTTACAGTCAAATAAGATATCAGATTCTTCATCCAAATGAAAGATACATGAGAGAAAACAAAAAAACCTAGAGCCAAGAGTCAGACATGTATTAAAGAGTTTTCATTATATATTTGTTCAATATCAGGACAAGTATCAAACTATTATAGTATTCCATAAGAATCAGTCTTACCTTGTTGTGAAAGTGAAATATCAGATTTACTTCTTACATATATTAGATGACTTTGTGCTGGCTTCTGTTCAACTTGCTTAACTTCTTGGTCTTGCTTTTGTTGGTACTAAAGAATTTAAGACATAAAGTCATAAGATTTTTTAAGTTACTTTAAAAAATCTTAGTAGTCAAATTATTCAGTTGTTTATCATATGAAATTTTAATAATATGCTAGCATTCTAATTGCCTTTTTTTTTTTGCCACTGGTCAGTACGGGGATCTGAACCCTTGACCATGGTGTTATCAGCACTGTGCCTTAAAAAATCTTAGTAGTCAAATTATTCAGTTGTTTATCATATGAAATTTTAATAATATGCTTGCATTCTAATTGCCTTTTTTTTTTTGCCACTGGTCAGTACGGGGATCTGAACCCTTGACCATGGTGTTATCAGCACTGTGCTCTAACCAACTGAGCTAAATGGCGAGCTCTCTAATTGGCCTTTTTGTCATTTGGTTATTTATAAGCACTTCTACCAATAAATGGGTGATGGAGTATATATTATGAAAGAAAATATATTGCAATAAAATCTTTTAAAAGATTTGGATAATGTACACAGATTTCAAATTTCAAGTCATTCCTGTCAAATTTTATTAAAGAATTCAGAGCTTCTTATAAATCAGACTATATTAGACTTATATACACATGATGGATTTAGACAGGATAAGAACTTAATTCAGCTGCAAGCTCTTCCATATAACCATTTTTGCATAAAATGAAAATTTGCATAATGCACTGCAATTTTCAAAGAGCTTTTATATAGAGTAACATCATTTAATTCTCACAAATGTGAGTAGGTATTGTTATCCCGTTTGCCATTCAAGAAACATGAGTTCCACCAGAAGCCATCATCTCTCTTCCTTACCTATAACCTAACCAAATTTGAAATTTACAGTAGTCACAAATCTCTTCACAATCACACATCACATATTGTGGTGTTTAAAGCTATTTTCTTTCTTCTCTTTCCTGTTTTATGAGCTGAATTATGAATGAGTCCCAGAAAACAGCTACCAGATATACTTCAACAGGAACTGAGAAAGATATCTCTAGACCCTTAGCAATAAATACAACCAGTGAAAAACTGAAACACCTGTCCACATGGACTCAAATGTCCACTCCAGCTCTTCCAGGCACCTCTTTATCCAGAGGTAAAAATGAGTAGCTTTAGACCACAGTAATGACAGTTGTCTTTAACTCTGGTCTTTCAGGTTAGAGACATTACTCATGTGGGTTTTAGCCTTGAAGGAAATATTATTTTTGGTGTGCATTTCTAAGATGGGTTCTATGACCATCTCTGGCTCTGGCTGCTGAGACTTAGAACCTCCCTATTAGTTCCGTTCCTTAACCACTGTGAATAAGAGCTGTGTACTGTGGAGCTAAACTGCCTGTGTTCACATCTGGCTAAGCCATTTTTTAGCTTTGATCTTGGGCAAGTTATTTACTTTCTCAATATTTCAATTTCCTCATACATAAAATGAGAATAACAACAACAACTATTCATCACACTGCTGTAAGTATTAAATTAGTTAAAATATGGAAAGAACTTAGAACAGCATCTGGCAGAGTAAGCACTATAAGTGTATACTATTATTATCATTATTAACCATACTTCCCTGTTAGCTAAAGAAATCTAACAAAGGAACTTTTGTAGGCCCATTCTTCAGGTAACATTTCATAGATTTACTTTAAAACAGGCCAACGATTAAAAAATAAAAGAAAGATTGCTTTCCTTTAAACAGCTTTATTGAGGTACAAATGACAGACCATAGGTCTAGAGTTAGACACACACGAGTCATACAGAGAGAAGAAACATGGTGGCGGGAAGGGAGTGAACCGCCCGCGCCCCTTGCCAGCAGGATCCCAGAGGCCACCAGCAAGAAGAGGAACTCAGAAAGCCTGATGATGAGTCAGAATCTCTGGTGTCCTTGCTTGCGCGGGGGTAGCTGTAACTACCCAGGTGGATTGCTCTGAAGGATTGCTGAGACCTTGAAAGGGACTCTCATACTACGTGCACTGAGGTTTGGAGTGCACGCCATTTTGTGAAATTTACAAAATCCTCCCCAGGAAGAAGCCGCAGGGAGCGGCCGCCACTCGACGCCTGGCCTCGCACCTGCTGCCCTCAGCGCTGGGCCAGGCTGCGCAGCCCCACCACCGGGACTCAGGGTCCGGTGACTGCGGTATCTGCCGGGGAGGGGGCTGTCGCTTCCCCTGCCCGGGCACTGCTGGAACCGCAAGCAAAGAGAGACTGAGCACGCTGAGGCGTGAACAAAAGCCAGGAGTGCCAGGGGTGGCGAGAGGCGGCCAGGGCGGCTCTGGCTGCGGAGGCTGCCGCGGGAGCTCAACGTGGGAGTGCAACGCAGGAGCTGAGACTCACCGGAGGGAGCTGCGTGAACGGCCTGCCATCGTCCCGGTAGTCAATTTTGGACTTGTCTGACACTAGTGTCCAACTGAGTAATCACTGAGGTAGCCATACCAACTTGGCAACCCCAACAAAATCTTAGTAATGCAGTAGTGTCATGCAATAGTGTCAAACCTGTGGACTGTGAAACCCCCTGCCACAATGAATAAACATCAAAGAAAAGACACCAGAAACACGAAAAATCAAGAAAGTACACCACCCAAAGATAATAAATCTCAAGCTCCAGATCCTATAGAACAAGAAGCCCGTGAAATGACTGAC